TCCCCCTCCCCCCTCTGTCCAGCCACTTAACGAGCCATGAACTATCGATCTGTGCCATTCTCCAATCGCTGAGAATAATGACGATTCCCCGCCATAAGACATGGAGTGTATCGCCGCTCCAAAGATCTCCCCGTGCCTGACTTCTGCTCGCACTTCGCTACGTCGTCTTAGGCGGGAGAAATTTGGCGGTGTGGGTTTGGCACCATTGTTGGGCTAATGGATTACGCCGGTCACAGCGCCGGTCACAGCGCCGGTCGTAACGCCGGTCGTAACGCCGGTCGTAACACTGGCCACAACAAGGGTGGACCGGAGTATTATCCGTGGCTCTGCTCCTTAACAAAGCCGTTTATTTCGGGAAATATGGCTTTAATGTGATATACATATGTGAGGCAGCGCGATGGAATCAGGCGCTCATCAAAATAACAAAATCGGGGGAAACAGGCATTTTTCCGCTGGTTTGGAAATTTTTATTGAATTTTTCGTTTTTTTTTTTGGTTCAACCTCTTTTTATATAAAAACACATTTCCATGTGAATTTTAGCGATGAACAGGCATTGATTAAAGGCTAAAAATATGTGGGTCTTTTTTTTGGTTTTCAAGGATTCTATGGCTATTGGGGTTACAAAACTTTGGCAGCCATTTGCTTGCTAATTTTACCACTGAAACCAGGCAACCTCATCTGCTTCAAACGCGAATATCTCGACTTCTATTCAAGATAGAAGGGTATTTTTCCCGTTGATAGCAACGCAAATTAACAAACTTTTAGATGATACCAATAACTGCAAATACCAAAAATTGACGAGCGCCTGATTCCACTGCGTCGTGACACATATGATATACTAGAGTAGCCCATGCTCTGTTCCGTGATAAAGCCGTTTGTTTCGGAAAACCTGGTTATAATATGATATACAGAATGGTATACTAGAGTACTCTCCGCTCCTTTACAAAGCCGTGTGTTACAAGAACCCTGGTTATAATATGATATACAGAATGATTATACTAGAGTACTCTCCGCTCCTTTACAAAGCCGTGTGTTACAAGAAACCTGGCTATAATATGGTATTATACAATACAAGTGTGCGCTCTGCACCATGATAAAGCTGCTTGTTAAGGGAAATAATGGCTATAATATGACATACATAATGTTCTTATGTACGCCTTGCTCCGTGACAAAGCCGTTTGTGAAGGGAAATGTGGTTATAGTATGATATACTCGTATACCTTAAACCGATCTAGTGCTGGCCTCAAGCATTCTGGTCCTGAGACAACGCTCTGTTTTTCCGGCACTGTAGATATAAGCAGAAAAACGAAACATTCGACGCTCGGGTAAGATCTGAGATAGGTTGCGCATTCTACAGATCCACCCAAAGTGCTGCGCGATCCATTAATCCAATACAGAATGCGCAACAATCCATGGATAGTTGCACATTCCATTGATCCACAAAATGAGTCGCGCGATCCACCAACCGGCGCAAATCGACAGAACGCGCCTAACAATATCAATACAACTCACTGTCCGTTCATTACGACTGAAATCATAAATCTCTGCCTTGAAGTAATATTAGTATTTTATTACCCCAGTTATAAAGGCTTCTGCTTGAATAATTTGTTTGCATACAGGACACAGAAATTGAAGAAAGTGTTCAAGCCTTATTATGTGTAACAAAAGCCTTTAAAAAACTGGTTAGATGAAAAGGGTAGGGCTTTTTTCGAAAACTGGTCTGTTAACTCAAGACTAAAGTTGCAAGAGACATCAGTGCTTTACGCGACTTCTGTGTCTCACGCAATATACACAGTCTATCTCAGTGAGGTCAGAGATCATCATCATCAATGTGTTTCACCCCTGGCAAGGTATAGGCCACATACAAGCTCCTTCCATTTATCTCTGTCCTGGGCCGTCCTTCCCAGCTCGTTTCAAGTGAGCTTCATCTCTCTCATGTCCCTTTCCACTCATCTCCTCCATGTAGTATGTGTTGTTGGTATGGGTGCATCTCTAGGAGGACTTGTGAAGTTTTTCCAGCCTCATAAAGGATCCTAACGGTCCACGCGTCAATCCGAAGAGACTAGGACTTGGATGATGGTGGAGGCTTCTGCCCAGCAGCTTCCTTTCGGCTTTCACTGCCTCGCGTCATAAACTCTCCATTCGGAGAAGATCCACGATCAGCCAAGCAGAGATAATGGTTTTTGCTTGTATGTGTTTCTGTAACAAGTTCTTTTTACGAGAGAGGTTGTTAGCCTCGTGACTCAACCCCCGACCTGGAGGCAGGATGACTCTGTTTCAGGAGTCACTACCTGGTTCGCCATTTAGTCGCCTCCTACGACACGCTAGCACCACGTCAGTCCTATTGTTCTCATTGCCGGGACTGTTAGAGATACAGATTTTTAAAAATGACCGTCAATTTCTACTCAAGAGAATGATTAAATTATTCAGGTTGGGGCGGCGGTTAGTTGGTTTTTTAAAATAAAAAACCACGAACAACCAGAATGAAGTTGAAACATATAAGTGCATACTCACACCCCCACCACGCCCCAATTCCACCCCGCCCTCCATCCTCACCCCCACCCCAACCCCTATCATCACCCTTACTATACAACTCCATCCGCCTATTCAGCCCAATAACAACATTATCACCATCACTTTAGTTTTATCACAAACGTAGTTCTTTGGGCGAGTGTTTCTACACGTTTCATTTCCACGACACCATATCATGTCTACACCCCCCCCCCCCC